GACACATTAGCAACCACCTGGGATACCACAACCTAGCAATACCTTAGCAACCACCTAGAAGAGCATAGCAACGGCCGAACGACACATTAGCAACCACCTGGGATACCACAACCTAGCAATACCGTAGCAACCACCTAGAACAGCATAGCAACGGCCGAACGACACATTAGCAACCACCTGGGATACCACAACCTAGCAATACCTTAGCAACCACCTATAACTTTTAAAGTGAAATAAGCTGTGAAGCGTTTGTCAAACATAAAACTCAAAGCTAAAACTTCGGCTCTGGCATTATTTACATTTTCTTCCTCTGTATTATTCAAACGCCTCTACCTGTTTAATTCACGCTCATGTAAAATTCATTCATGCTTTCTTTCGCCTTTAGCGTCAGTATCCAGTGACGGCCAGAGGAGGACGAGTTTCCCTTTCACGTCTCGGCTCCTCTGTTTCTTCCTGCAGCTCAGGGAGGGTTTAGTTTCCACTGTGGCCTTCGGGACAGTGAGACTATGAAAGCTGTAAAGCTGCCCTGTGAAAATGTTTACTGAAATTACAGCAACGTGAACTCATGTAAAGAAGAACATCGAGATTAAATGAATGGTTCCGCAACATCAATTTACTCAGTTCCTACCACAGATGTAGTTGATCAGTTGAGAGTCTGGCGTTTTGGTTCTTTAGTGCTGGAGCTACAAGGCTAACATCACTAACAATAGAACTCTATAGTCACCCAAATCTTTTCTGTAAATACATCCCCAAAACCACTTCTAACTCAATGAAACCACATTCAGGTCATCATTAAGGAGGAGCAGACTTGTAGATGTGGTTTAGGACAGTCTGAGTTACTGTTACGCTACATATAATGTTCACGATTTATGGTTTTACTTTTATAAATAACTGTTAATTTGGGTTTTTTAACTGAAGATAAACAGAAACAACAGAAATCACAAACTCCATACAGTCCATACAGCAGCGTGATGTGCATGCATGCAACAGTCATGTACTGCATTGGTGTCAGAATTTGGTAGAACACCTAAAGTTTCTGCCCGCAGTGTTTCACTACATGGTTTTTGTTTTGTTTGCTTATAGCTCATAGTGAGTGATACTGTGTCCTAAACCACATTGACAAGTCTGTGACACGTTAACGAAGACCTGGATACGGATTGAGTGAATTACGAGAAGTTCTGGGGATGTTTTTACAATAAATATTTGGGTGACTATTGACTTATTAAGTTTATTAGCAACATTAGCGTCGTAACTCTAGTGCTAAAAAAAACAATTTTTTGACACCAAACATGATGACCAAGCTGATCGAGACCTGGAATAAGTGTAAAAGATAAATGATTTTATCTTTGGCCGATCAATTTTTTAAAATGATTATTAATGTTAGGAAATGATCCAATATTAATCAGGCAAAACTGACCCTGATGAGCTGTGACACCTGATTCATAACTCACAACAGAACCAAAGAAAGCCCATAAAATAAAGAATCTTTATTTACATGTGAATCAAACCTATCAAAACACCAGAACATGCATGATGAAAATACATTTAACCAAAGAGGAGAGAAAAATCCTGCTGTCATTTCAGACGGCAGCATTTCTCTCTATTTGCTGATGTGAAGCGAGGTGAAGAGAACGTTCTCGTAACAAGGACAGATCGCACAGAATGAGCCTGTCCACAGCTTTGATGTGGCCAAAACAATGACAAATAAAAGTGCAGGTTAAAAATGTGTAAGAAAAAAAAAAGTTTGGTCACTGAAAAAGGCAAAGCACACAAGACGAGCACACCTGTACAGTGAATGTTATTTTTAATTAAGAGCAGATTTCCTGTGTGCAATAACTCCACAAAAGACCGACACAGACCATCTGACAAAAAAAATGGGCAAAGAAACAGTGACCACTCCTCGAAGACAGGCTATTCTTACAACTCAGCAGAACCCGAAGCGAAACAAACTGTAAGGCCTATAAAGAAGTGACACAAAACAACCCTATAATAAAATAAAAAGCAAGGCAAAGGAGGAGGAGGTACTGTATATTGCTCTTTATGTTGTGCTTAATGCTACAGAAGTTCAGTCTCCATCAGTTCCAATCAGGGCTGGAGTTTCTATACTGCACAAAAACTAATGCATCTCATTTAAATATCTATTTTTCCCCAAAAACATTTGTACTTTTCAAAGAAAAAAATGTTCTGATCGGCACAGACAGAACAAACGCAGTCAGGACAGACTCTCATTGTACTTTCAGAGGGAAGCGAACCGGCCCACCTTCATGAAACAGATAAATAACACTATGTACAGTGAAGACGACGCTTCAGGGGTCCTGGACGGAAAAAACTAACCTACAGTAAACGGAAAAAGTCTTTGGTCGTTCAACTTCATGTCCTTCCTGAATACTTCATTGTTTACACTGTTTATTATCTTAAAAAACCCCAAAGCAACCCTGAATAACAATATTTCAACACACAGTGATGCTTTACACCAACAACACGTATATAAAGCATATTCATAAACAGTATCTGAACACTCCATTAATCACATAACCATTCTGAAACAGTCATTAATGAGTAGAGCATGATGTGATGAACTGAACTCAATGAGTACGTTTACATGCACAAGAATCGGGTTTCTGTAGTGTTCTGATTTGTCAAATGATCATGTGAACAGTATACTCTGATTTAGAAATCTGATTAAGAAATGTGATAAAGAGGCTGGATTTTAGCTCAGCAATCAGACTTCTCAGCGCATGTAAACTCTTACTCTGATTTCTTTCGGAGTTCTCAGTCTGAGCGTGAGTTTCGAAAACAGACAGTGGTACCAGAAATAAGCGAGCAGCGTCGCCGCGAGATGCAGTAAAACACACTTGTAGCGACGCTGAAACCAAATACACGCTTGACGAAATGAAGGATTAAACATTCTTTATTTTCTAGATGATGTTCATATTTTCAGGTAAAGTGGCTCAATGCTTTTTTAAAAAGCCGCAGCACGAGGTTTGAGTTTTACATTACTTTTACGCCACGTTTTCTTCTGTGAGTTTATTGGCTGGTTGTAAAGGAGAAATCTGATTACTGTCTGACTCACGTAGACCCAGAGTTTCCCCATTATCTGATTACTCAAGTGCATGTAAACGCGTCGATCGGATTACTGACAAAATCTGATTTTCTGTGGTTATCGGATTATTAAGTGTAAACACACTCAGTGATGTTTAGTGAAGTTCTTATGACTATTAAAACATTAATATACAGTTTTCTTCTTTTTCAGGGAATAAATAAAGTTCTAAACACAACGTATTCAAAAGATATTCATGTTGTGCTCATTACTGATCCCTTAATAACGTTGAAAAACATTCGCATGAATACAAAAACAGCACAAATGGATGACATTTCACTCTCCTCAACATTACATGAACTGTTTCAGTTCAATAATGTAACATTTCCAGCTGGATACTGAGCCGTTAGCCTCAAGCACTTTTACTGTAGAGGAAGAAATAAAAGAGCACCACCTAGTGGCAAGGAACCAGGGACAGGTTGCCCCAGCCGTACGCAAGTTCAAATGCAGGCTACTAAGTTGAGGTTTACTTATTACTAAATCAAAACAAGTTAACTCACACAAACTAGCTTAGTAGTTACTACATTTTCACACCTCACACTTAAGCAGGTGTGATTGTTGGGGAAAACATCGGAAACTAGTTACTTCTCTGGATACTAGTTAAGGCATGATTTACAAATTGGTGGTGCAACTTATTATGGTGTAGTCTGAAACTAACTAGTGCTAAATGAGGTCTTAGTGAGGACTTTACACGCAAACTTAAGTTCAAACAGCTCCACCCAATCCTGAACCTTAATGTCATTTTACTGCATGGCTACAGGAATACTTTCATGTACGAGGAGGTACTGTAATTTGCATAAATCTCGCATGAATCAATAAATACATGCCTAACGACAAACAATTAAACAATAAAATTTGATCTCGAGTGGGCTTAGCAGTGGTGCCCATAATAGAAACTCTGGGTCTACGCTGAGTTTCTCTATGACAAAAAGAACTAAATTCTTGAAAACTGCCACCATCATGTCGGTAAATAAAATGGTTTCAAACTCGATACGTTTGGTCCTACGTATGTCTGCCCACCGAACATCACTGGATCCTCTGAGTTTCAAGGTCGTTAAGGAGCCGAATTTTGCTACATACAAGCTAACGCTGCTGTGCACTAAACTGACATCATAAAACAGGCAAGCACTCAAAAATACCCCAAACAAACCAGTAAGCTTTCTCCAGTGTGGTAGTTATGTCGCTTTGGCAGTAGTAGAGCACATCAAGAGTAGCTGGTGTTATTATATGATAGTGATCATTTAATGATAGACTTAGGCCCAGTCCCATTTCACCCCTCGCCCCCACCACTTAGCCCTCTGTTTTGCGTGTTCTCGTCTAGGGGTAGGGGGTCCCGATTCTTGTTGAGATAGAGGGGTGGGGTGAAGTGTTAGAGCTGCATGACCCTCCAAACAGGGGTTTTTCAGAGACTCCAAACAGAGAGTTATGAGAAAAAAAGAAAAACCGGCAAGATGGAGAACAAGAGACCAAAGAAACCCACAAATGTGAGAATTTTCTTTGTTAAAAAATTACGATAATATTATCGTTTAATGTCGTTTCAGTGTTTTAATGGTCCTTTTCTTCATAACAAGCATAAAAAAAAATCTCTCGGTAGCTGGCTAATTTTCCCGTTCCACCTTAAATAGTCCAGCAGTTCTGACGTCTGAAGCGCCAGAATGTAACTGCTGCACCATTTAAGGTGGAACGGGAAAATGTGATCAACAAGCTGAAGAATATCACTGAAGAATTAGGGGTGGGTGATAATAAATAATTGCCCCCCTCTTTGAAGATCATATGATGCCCTAAATGTAACTAAAGCCCAGCAGTGAGGAGCTGAACTTTACCCTCCTCTGCTGTCACTGCAGACCGGCAGGGTCGCCTACAGAGCAGCACTGGTAGCTGTTAATGAAAACATTTTTTATTTATTTTTTAGGGTCCCATTTCGCAGGGCAAGATTTCAACCACTACCAGGCCTACTACTGATGCTACTACTAGGGCGACACTCAAAAAAAGGGGTAGGGGTAAAATGAAGAAATGGGATCGGGCCTTACTTTCAGTGCGCAAGAAGGGCAGCATGGATGTAGCAAGTTTATACTTGCTCATCAATCAGAGCATCCACTGACATTCAGTGGAAAAACTGTAAACGGAATAAAACGTATCAGATTTAGAACCTTTTTTCTGGACCACAGGGCATGAAAACGGTGACTTTTGAAAATAACAATGACTACAGAATGGCTACAGAGGTCTACAGGCTGATTATTCTTTGAACAGACTTTAATTCAGGGTCTCATTTTATTTGGAAAGTCCACTACAGTCCCCTAAAGATTATCTACAGATGTTCAAATTGTTCACAAACTAGTTGTAGTTGATTCTAAACGGTGGTGGGGTTAGGGTCAGGATTCGGACCAGGGTGTGGGCTGGGCTGAGGTTGAGGTTGAGGTTAAGGTTAGGATTAGAGCCAGGCTTAGAGTTAAGGAAGATTATGGTCAATTTAGTAGATATTTAATTAAATGTAACTTGAAAGTAAATGAAGTATCTACAAAGCATCTAAAGTGGACTATCCAAATAAAGTGTTATCTTCATCATGAACTATACACCAATTTCACTCAGTATGTTTTCCATTCATTAAATTATGTTATTAAATTCATGATTATGATGATCTAAATGATTATGTAACTGTAATGGAGTGTTACTGTACTGTTAATGAATATGCTGCCAACGCTTTGTGAACATGTAGTCCGTGTAAAGCGCTACCCAACACACGAACCCCAAACAATCAAGAGTGCAAAAGTGTCGCGTTTAATAACTGGCTCTGGTCAGAGAGATCAGCTTACATCCATTGGAACGGTATGTGACGTCTGTCAAACGTGAGGGACAGACAGCGAATAGATTCGCTTAAAAAAAGAAAAAAAAGGCGGTAATACAGACGGAAGCACTGCCAGGTCAGGCAGGAAGCTCCTGTGACATCAGCATGATTCCTGTTCTTTTCTGGACATGCGGTGGGCTCTGACCCCTCAGTCTCTCTCCTCTTTTCTCTGTTCTTTATCATCTTTCTCGCTGGTGAAGACCAGTGGTGGGAACAGCAGCAGATCTTTGATCTCAGGAGGAGGACAGTTATTTGTGCTTTCACTCCATTTTTGACATCTCGTATTTTGTAGTCATGATTTCCTGCAAGAGGTTAAACGAAAGGCATTGAAAGAACATTCATTCCAATATTGACACTATTCGATATAGTTACGCGCAGGTAAAGCTCGTCGGCTTGCTGTAACGCACCTCGTCAGAGTCGAGAAGAACAGGCAGAGCACTGAAATGAAAGAAAAACAGAGAGGGGGAAAAAGACATGAAAGACATTTCATGCTTTTACTGCAGTCAGTGCACATATGCAGTTAATATATTGCAAATATTCACATCATAATATTACATTTACATTTTATATCTGCTGCTCACACCTTTAGCTGTACATATGTAATATACTTCAGTACTGGATTGTAAATGTACTCCCATCACAACCCTTACTACATTACTCACAGACTGTTTGCATACTGTCTAATATATATATGCAATAAGATATATATATTACTGTTGTCAGAAGAAAACCTCATATCTCCAAATTGGTAACTTCACAGGAGAAGCAAAAACATACTTTACTTTTAATGTAAGTCAATGGAACCAGAGTTGTTTCCGAGTCATTTTTGGTCGTTTCTTTTAGTTCATTCATCATGAAATTTACACACAATGTAAAGGACAACAGGCATTTTCACATTATGTCAAAAACTGAAAAACATCAAAAATGAAGATACAAGGTTTTCTTCCGACAAAAGCAATTATATGTATATAAACACACACACACACACACACACACATCTATCTGCACATACGGACACCTTATCGCACATCAGGCACATCTGGACATGCCAAACCTGGACACTTTATTTCAGTATCAGTATCTGCACATATTTATTCAGTATTGTCATAAATGCTGTTATCTGCGCCTCCTTGTACATCATTACTGCACTGCCTTTTTATCTCAGGATAGATCTTATTGCATATTTCTGTATATTTTTTTGTTGTATATCTGCCTGTAGATAGGTATATATTCTTGTATATATTCTTCTTATATTGTATCACCCTTATTATTATAACTGTGCTGTGTGACTGCTATTGGATCCATCCATCCATATAAAAATGACCCAAAATTACTTGGAAATAAGTCTGGTTCCATTGACTTACATTAAAAGTAAGGTTTTTTTTTGCTTCTTCTGTAAAGTTACCATTTTGGAGATATGAGGTTTTGATCCGACAACAGATATATATTTATTTTTATGATTTGATTTTATGTTGACGCCTGCACCAAGAGAAACTCCTTGCACGTCTGGCACTTTGTGAATAAAGATTCTGATTGTGCAGCATGACTGTGGGGCTCATGTGAAAACAGACTGAAATAAAAATGTGCATCTAGTCTAGAAGAGTAGAAGAGCTTCACAGGCCGTCCAGCAGGGTGATTCTAACGAAACTGCCTCAAAACGTCCATAAAAATATGAAACAACACATTTTTTCTATTTTTCCATTTTTCCCCTAATTCTCATGACCGATATTTATATATTCTTAGCGTTTTTAATCAGAAAAACTTAACTGTAAGGATGTGAAACAAAACATCAAAATATCATGTTGCAAAACAATCATTTGTTTTAATAATCAGTTTTAAAATAATTAACCACACGATACACGGCTGCAGGGAAAACAAAGCAAGCAAAACAAGATTAACAGGTTGATTTTCACATATTACTGTGTTGCAGTAATGAGAAACTGGTCACTTAAACTGAAAAATATGACTAAAATCAGTTTAAACAAATGCAATGTGATCATTGTATGTATATCCAAAAAAAACAGATGTTACTTTTCAGTCATTTTTTCATTGTTTCAAGTATTTGTCCCAGTATTTGTTATGTTCCTGAGAATAACCCAGCTAGGGTTGCCAGATTTCAACACTGGCAAAACTGGACAGCCCAGGGGTTGGGGGGAAGGGGGGGTTCCAAAGCATCCAATTTTTTTGTGTTTTAAAAATTGTCTTTGCTTCTTTTTTTTTTTTACCCGATTTTCTCCCCAATTTAGTCATCTTTAATTCCACCCGCTAGTTAGGACTCCCCCAATCACATGATGCTATCAACGCTAGGAGGGTGAAGGCTAACACAGGCTTCCTCCGAGACCTGTGAAACCAGCCACCGCTTCTTTTCGAACTGCCGCTCATGCAACGTCACTGGACAGCTGAACGCGCTCGGAGGAAAGCGCCAACCGCCAGATCTGTTACGTCAGCTAACAGACGCCTGCGCTGACTAGCATCGCGCTGAGTGATGGGGGGAGAAGGAGGGGCCATCCCACCCACCCAGAGAGAGCGAGGCCAATTGTTCTCTCTCGGACTCCCAGCTACGGACGGCTGTAGCATCACCAGGGATCGAACTTGCGATCTCCTGATGATAGGGCCAACGCTTAGACGGTTGCGCCACTCGGGAGCCCGTCTTTGCTTCTTTTGTTTGTTTCTGTAAGTTTCTTGTATTTTCTATGAGGAACATTAGGTTAAACTCTATGATCTGGTTTTCCCAGATAAAATTCTCACTCAGTTCTTTTTTAATTGACTGGACTCAATCGCAGCGAATTTCTGATTAAATTTTGTTTGTTAGAATTATTAAACCATTTGAACACAAGCACTGCTGTAGAGCACTGAACAAAAAAGAGAACTACATTTTTAAGAGGAGTCTTGACCGTCTGGAACTGTTTGAATATCACTTTCTTACTTACACATCAGTTAAAGAGGTAGGAATGTTCTCTTCCACCCACTTCAAATCTTCATCCTGAAGACAAAAGAAATGCTTAAATTCAGGCTACATACCAGTTTTCTGTATTATCTTAATCGCGGCACGTGAAGGTTGTGATACTGACCGGTCCAGAAGGGGGCTTTGCTGTTCCGTTAGTCTCCGTCTTAGATGCTCTCAGTTTTATTCCATCAGCTGAAAATAAAAAGAACATAGTGATGAGTTTATTTTGGTCTCATTCTTGCTTTAATGTACAGTCCAGTTCATTTTACTCACAAATGTTTGCAGACACCAGGAACTCTTCAATCTCTTCATCATCCGAGTCATCGATCAAAGGTGTGAATGCGTACCTACAGAGACAGCACAACCAATAAAGAACAAGGTTAAACTAACACAAAATATAGACGGACACACAAATCCACCAATTACAGGCGAGAGGCCTTAATCACGTGGATGGCTGGGTATGTGAGCGCCGTTTATCTGGGGCGGTGACGGCACCAGGATGCACTGTGAGAAGACGACAAGATAGTGGAGGGAGTGTAATGCTCTGGGCAATGTCCTGCTGGGAAACACCGGGTCCGGCAGTCATGTGGACTTCAATTTGACCCATGACACCCACTGCGAACCAGGTGCATCCCTCGTGGCGATAGTATCTCCCGACGGCAGAGGTCTCTTTCAGCAGGATAATGCGCCCTGCCACGCTGCACACACTGGCCCACTTTCATCAAGCATCTAAGAGTAAAAACACTGATCTATGGTCTGGCTCTTCTCAGATCCTAGATCAGCATTCCAGCATTCCCGCTCTGAGACGCTTCATGAATACAGGCCATTGTTGAGGGAACAGTTTGAGTAATGTGAAGAACAGTTCAAGTGCCTCTTTTCCACCGTCAGGCAAAACTTGGGGCTGCACTGTGCCGTTCCGCACTGGTCTGGACTCACGAGAACGGTTACATTTTCTTTTTCCATCTGTTGTGCCGCTAAATCAGGACCAGGAAATCCTGAATTAAAACCTACAGAAATGAGTGGCTAACTACTAACAGGCTACATACATAGCTACATACACAGAACCCATCACAAACCCATCACTCTGTCACTCCAAATTCAGTCACTCAGCTGCTCTCAGATTCTTTATCCTCTACATGGGTGTTATTTAAGCATCAGCTACTGAAACACCCTGTACTGCAATGGGTTGAACGTGCAGCCGGCTAACTTCGGTAGCACTGGCGTCACCCAGCAGGGTACAGCTCAAAGCACCACAGAACTATTTTTTCTATTTCTGTCACTTAAACACCAGACATTCGAATTTGCACTCTCTGTTATGAGTATTTACCCTCTGAATGTTTTTAAGAGTTGGTTAGCTGAAAAAGAGTCTGTGCTGCAGTGGCAGGCAACATACACTTGTGTTAGCTTAGCCTAGCAGGCACCAGCTTAACACACTACAGAACAGGTTTGATTTCTGTTTTCTGTCACTACAGCACCAATACCGCAGCAGGATGAGGTGGCACAACACTGACAGAAGCAATCAGCGAACAGCTACGCCTTCACGTCACCCCACCAAACGGTTTTGAGGCCCCGAGGATGGTTAGCTACCCATGCCGAAAAAAAACGGGTTGAGGCCGCTTTTTAAGCATTCCGCGTCAAACCGCGTCCATGTGGAAAAGCCACTGGAATGGTTACCCTCCATGCTCAGAACCGTTTGACCTTGGAAAAGAGGACAAGGTGTTGCCCTAGAGCTGGGCGATATGGCCAAAAACGTTATCACGATAAACAAAACTCATATCGTTCGATATCGATACATATCGCGATAATTGTCAAATCATGATTTCTTTCACGTTTGAAACTATCACTTATGGTTTTAAACTATCACTTATGGTCCGATCATGACAAACACTCACCAAACAGTGGAACATTTCACTAATCTGTCTTGGGACAGTGGGAGAAAGTTTCTGAGCTGTTTTTATCAGCTGGAAAAGCACAGCTGCAATTTTTGTAATAGTCATGATTTAATAAAGAAAACAGATTATTTTTAGCTGTCTGGTGTCGAGCGCTCGGCTACCCCGCTACAAATGCTAAACAAGTGGCCAACAACAGAGCTAAACTCTTTAGTTTCTCAACAACGTCAACTCGGTTCGGTAGGTCACTGCTGTCACTCCTACCACAGCCATGTCAGAGCAGATCACAGTATTCAGACACCAGCTAGACGGCTGGGTTTCTCTATGCTATCGTAGTAGTTTAAGGGGTGAACCGCAGTATATCTGACGCTCGCTGTGTAAAAACGTTATCTGCAGTGTGAATCTCTCACACCAGTCACAGAGTCCTCCTTTTAGGCATGTTTAAACTGAAAGCGGTGATTTTGTATCTTGTTTGATCTACCGTATCATCAATTCACCGTGTTGTGCCGGAGCGCCGCTTCAAGTTAACCAGCAGCAAAAAACAGCTAACCTAGCCTGGAAAGATAGCGCTCTCCCGCTCTCCAGTGCCTCACAGCTTCCTCAGTTTACTTTCAACATGAACCACTTCTTTCTTTCACTTTCGTTGCTCGAGAATGCACTAATACTAAAATATGACGGTTTGGCGCTGTAACACGGCGCTGCAGACGTGATTTAACACCGCTGAAGTTGTTAGGATGTACAGAAAGAGGTGAGTTCACCGTAGGTCAGTACAGTTACACCACTGACCTCGTCACTCAGACTCGGTCACAGGAGAACAGACCGCTGGTCGCTCCACTCAAACAGGGACTGTATAACTCCGCGTTTCACATGTTCCTAAAGTGTATTAGGCGACCCTTTTTTTTACTCGTGGCCCCCTCCCTCTCTAATCAAGTCGAAAAACTCAGAAGTGCGCCCTCTCCTGGCGACAGCAGAGTAGTGTCGCTTTCCTTGCAGTAGAAAACGCCACCAGGGCTTTCGCTAAAACATGGAAGTGTGAGAGTGGTGTATTATATCGAACATTTATCGAACCTGTCTTATCGCTCTATCGAGGAAAATTATATCGCGATACTTATCGTTATCGTTTTATCGCCCAGCCCCATGCTGCCCTGGCTGCCCAACTTCCTCAGATCTCAATCTGATTGAGCATCTGTGCAATGTGCTCGAACAGGTCTGATTCGCGGCGCCTCCACCTCACAACCTACAGAACGCCACATCCATTTGATGTGCCAGAGACCACAGGGCACCTTCAGCGGACTTGTAGAGTCCATGCCTTGGTTGTTGTATATGAGACGATTCGCATATTCCGCGCAATCAGATTACAATCTGACTAACTGACGACGCATTTGAAGTGTAAATGCATGTGGTTAATATCTTATAAGGTTACAATCCACATACAAGTCACTTGGAGTCAGAACTTGCCTTTGGTTATTTGCAGATGGTCTCCAGAGAAACATGATGACAAGCAGTATGATCGAGAAAAGGAACCTCCAGAAGGCATCATCGACCCAGAGCTCCATCCAGTCCTGCTGACAAAGATCACATACAGGTTAGTCCTTGCTGATACAGAATGCACATTTAACTGACGAACACCTATAGCAAAACCTACAGTGTATCAGATACTCACAGCCTGACAGCCTGCTAACCAGAATTTTTTGGTCGTCCAAACCATAAAAATAATAGAGGCTGAAAATAAAAAACAATTGAAAAGTTTACGCAATGTATACAGACAAAACGTGCAATACATCAACTCTACATACACTATATGGACAAAAGTATTGGTACACCCCTCCTAATTACTGAGTTCAGGTGTTTCAGCCACACTCATTGCTAACAGGTGGATCATATTAAGCACACAGCCTTGCAGTCTTGAGAATGGGTCATACTGACGAGCTCAGTGACTTTAAACATGGCTCTGTCTTAGGATGGCACCACTGCTTTAAGTCAGTTTGTGAAATTTCTGCCCTGCTAGATCTGCCCCAGACAACTGTAAGTCCTATTACTGTAAAATGGAAGTGTCTAGGAGCAACAACAGCTCAGCCACGAAGCCTATCCTATAACAGTGCCTATCCTCTGTTGAATCACTCACCAATGAATTCCAAATTAGCTCTGGAAACAAAATCAGTGAAATAACTGTGTCAGGACGTTCAGGAACCGGGTTTCCATGGCTAAACAGCTACACACAAGCCTAAGATCAGAATGTAAGCCAAGCGTTGGATGGAGGGGTGTAAAGCACCTCCACTGGACTCTGGAGCAGTGGAAATGTATTCTGTGGAGTGACGAATCACACTTCTCTATCTGTCAGTCTGATGGACGAGTCTGGGTTTGGCGAATGCCAGGAGAACATTACCTGCCTGACTGCACTGTGCCAGCTGTAGAGTTTGGTGGAGGAGGGATGATGATATGGGGCTGTTTTTCAGGGGTTGGTCTAGAACCCTTAGTTCCAGTGAAGGTAAATCTTAGTGCTTCAGCAGAACAAGACATTTCAGACAATCCTTTGCTTCCAACTCTGTGGGAACAGTTTGGGGAAGAACCTGTTCTGGCTGGGTGAGTTTGGTGTGGAAGAACTTGACTGGCCCTCACAGAGCCCTGACCTCAACCCCATCAAACACCTTTGGGATGAATTAGAATGGAGATTGTGAGCCAGACCCTCTCGTCCAACATCAGTGCCTGACCTCACAAATGCTCTTCTGGATGAATGAGCAGAAATTCCCACAGACTCTCTCCAAGATCTTATATAAAGCTTCCCAGAAGAGTGGAAACTGTTAGAGCTGCAAAGGGGGACCAACTCCATATTAATGCCTATAGATTTAGAATGGGATTCATAAAAGCTCCTGTAGGTGTAATGTGGAGGTGTCCCAGTACTTTTGTCCAAAAACTGTATGCTTGGGAAAATTTCACATTCAACCATTTTCTATTTTGTCTTGTTTTATACTTACCAATTACAGCGAAGATGAGGGTATTGGTGAAATGTCTGTACAACGACAACTTCACTGGGTTTCTCCTGAGCTTTAGTGTCTTTATAGTTTGTGCTAGACTCACAAATATTTGAGAAGAAGTCAAGGAAATAACATACGAAAAAGATCACCAATAACTTGCAGACAACATTGAAACAACTAAAAGAGAACGGAGACTAATTAAAATGGATCAAATCAAGTCTGACAGACATTTTAAAGGAATACTTTACTCAAAAATGTTAACACTGAAAGCTAGAGGGGGTCCTTCAACATTCTGCATTCTGAACCCCATTAGCATTCATTTCTGTTAGTCTTTTTGGGTAAAGTAGTCTTTAAAAAAACTCCAGGTGTTGGAGTCAGCATGCAGAGATCATGATGGGAGTGGGGAGAGGACAGTGGAGGCCCCAGCACAGGTACCGGAGGAGTCAACCCAAAAGGATATCCACCAACACAGACAGGAGTCAAGCAGTGTCAGGAGAATGTTGGCCAGCAAGGCCAGGTCAGAGTCTTTAGCCTGAGAGAAATGCAGAGGAGGAAAAGGAAAGAGGGGGAGAGTAAGAAAGGAGGAGAAAACAAGCATGAGTGAAAGGGGCAACTAGGGAGACAGAAAAAATAACCCTTTCCATCAGAGTTCAGGAAACTGACAGCCTGTTCAGATAATCAATCACCACAATTTTACAACCCTGTTCATCCGAAACCAGTTAAACGACAAATTATCATCAAATAGAGCACAAAAAAACTTAGATCCTGAGTGAGGATTTGGTAAAGGTTAAGCAGATCAAGGGCCAGACCGATTTATCGGGTGGCTGATAATTTCGGCCCATATTTCACATTATCCGTACTATCCATTTTGGCCAACAATATCACCAATCATTAGCATCTTATTTGTTTATTTTATTTATTTATTTATTTATTTTTACCAGATTTTTCTCCCCAATTTAGTCGTCTCCAATTCCACCCGCTAGTTAGGACTCCCCCAATCACACGATGCTATCAACGCTAGGAGGGTGAAGGCTAACACAGGCTTCCTCCGAGACCTGTGAAGCACCACAGCTTCTTTTCAAACTGCCGCTCACGCAACGTCACTGGACAGCTGAACGCGCTCTGAGGAAAGAACCACCAGATCTGTTACGCAGACGCCTGCGCTGACTAGCATCGCGCTGAGTGAGTGATGGGGGGAGAAGGGGGGGCCACCCCACCCACCCAGAGAGAGCGAGGCCAATTGTTCTCTCTCAGACTCCCGGCTACGGACGGCTGCAGCATCACCAGGGTTCGAACTCGCGATCTCCTGATGATAGGGCCAGCGCTTAGACGGTTGCGCCACTCGGGAGCCCTTTATTTATTTTTTAACTGTGGCACTGCCAGGATTCAGACTCAATATCCCAGACACGAGAACCTTAGGCCTGTCCACACATAGCTGGATATTTTCAAAAACAAATTTCCTCTCTGAGTTTTGGCCTCCTGTCCACACAAAAAACAGTTTTTTCTGTCACAGACATCAAAAGTCTGACACCAATCCATTAATCGGCTCCTGTTATTGCGGTTTCTGTCTTTAAGAATGCAGAACTCTGTCTGAAATATGACTGACAGGGTTGCTTCTGTGTGCTCGGCAATCTAGGAGTTGATAACATGTTTATAATTTAATTTACAAACACAACTACTATTCAATACACATCTTACATATAAAAATCTTGTTTTCAAACGGAAGAAAAATACTGTTTATGGAAAACTACTGTCATACAAACTTAAAATTTTGTACACAAAACATAAAATGAATATGATTAAAAAAACAAAACATGAGGCCATATTTTTATATTGGGGTCTACATCATGTAGTCAAACTGAATATGGTAATAATAATGATAGTAATAATAATGAAAATATATGTATGAAGGAAAACTATATATGTATGAAAACTAAAGAAATCCTAACCTAAGCACTAGCTTGAGAATAACATGTTATAACAGATAATCAAGAGAACTTTTGAAAGATAACAGTTAGAGGTGATTATCAGAAACCAAAAGCACAAAGCATTCTGGGTAGCTTCGCGACCAGACTACAATACATTATTTGAGACAGAGAGTTTCATTAAGTTTAAGAAGTGTGATATCTGCCGATATTATTGATTATCTAAATTTTTAGCCCTCTAAATTCGATATCAGCCACGAAATATTGGTCCGGCCATATTCTGATCCACAGTCGGTTTGATTAGTATAATTATAAATAAAAGTATTTATATTAAATATTCGACAGTAAACATGAATAACTCCTAACGTAATAACTCTAACTGTAACACACTCTATGGCTGCTACATGTATTTATGGAAGAAGTACGCTGCCATATTACAGGCCTAAAATTATAGCTATAATTGACCACTTCACTCTCATTTTAGCTATATCTCTACAGTTGAAGTGTAAAAGCAAAGCGAATGGAAGGATATGAACCAAATGCCGCAGGAATCAAACACAGCCAGTACAATGGCAGTGATCAGAGCTGGTCCATTGTCCCGACCCTTTCAGACCAACAAAAAACATATAAGAAAACTGCTTTCTCTTCTTCTGTTGTACAGCACTGCGCAAAAGTCATAAACAACTCTTCATTTAATTAATATTGTGAAAACCCACCATTAAGTAAAGAGTTACCAATTTTTCTCACAATATTTGTGAGGACATATAAGATAATTCATTTGTGTAAGGAAGGAAAAAGTCTAAATTAGAGCTCCAAAAATTGTTAAAACTCAGATTACAACAAGCAGAAAATGCAAAACCAACGTCTAAGACTGAAATCTCTTAAAAAAAACAAACAAAAAAAAAACAATGAAAGCTGTAATAAAGGCAAAAGGTGGACACAGGGAATACAGCTTTAAATCAGTTTTTTTCACTATTTAGTAGTGAAAAAAACTGATACTAAATTTAGTTGTCCTGCATAATTTTTCCGTTAAATACGTTTTATGCTAAATATTTGTTTTTGATACAAAAAATAAAAATCGTGTACTTTAAATGTAAATTAATGAAGGGTCCACAATACTGTACATCTTCCAGATAAATCCTATTACGTTTACTGTAAGTAAAACAGCCGTATTCCCTGTTACTCCAAATGCACTAAGATTCCAAAGCATGCATACAACTGCCTACAGCAGTTTGCCCTACAGCTGAATCTTTCACAGCTGAGTTAATCAGGCCTACTTTACCCCAGTAATCCTTAGAACGCCCTCAATGGCAGCAAAGGCAAAGTAAAGCACACCCAGCCCCACGACTCTGTGCATGACGGTTCCCAAACGAGGCCTAGAGGGGAGAAAAAAAAAATAAAAATTCAGTACACAAAGTCAAAAACAGGGTAACATGCCCTCCAATCCAATGTAGTTCTGTCATGACTAGGGCTCTCACGGTCATGAAATTCTAGCCAAATAATTAAATAATTAGGATTAACGATTTGTCTTCTTGTTCATTGTTTGAAATGATTAAAAATACAAGCCTGAAGTGCCCAAATTGGCTGGTTAGCCAGCTTAACTGCTAGCTGTGTTTACTTTATAGCAGGGGTTTTCAACCTTTTCTACCCCAAAGCCCACCTGACTATAAAGCACAGCGGCCCACAGAAAAACTAAAATCAACTTAAAAAAAAAACAAAAAAAAACAGTACAGTGCTGTTGCGCTGCTAGAGGAAGAGGAAAGCTGGCTCTACTGATGAATTCCGTTGTTTGATCATAAAATGCGTCCCACCAGCAGTGAACTGAACAGGGCTCGGTTGGAAGCGGGCCAAGACCCGCAGGTTTTTGCCCGATCAGTTCAGCTGTTTGCTGCAGACCCGAATACGAGTGGAATGTTTACACACGTCAAAACAGAGCGAACTAAAGAAAAAGTTTGATCGTTCTGCACTGGACAAGGTAGGAGACAGCGCCCTCTCCATCTCTGGCTCGCTGACTTTCAGCACTGCGCGGCGTTGGCTGCGTCGTCTCAAACTGATGACGTTTAATTAGTCTGCGACTGCAATGTTTTTATTTATGCGTCTCTAATAATATTCATATTGCTTATAATTTGGAATTGTATGATTCTTAGATATTTTATTATTAGGCTTAAGTTAATCGTTTTTCCACTTATGTTTTAGCGCCGTTTACGGCCCACTACGAACTACTGCCTCCCCCCCTGAGTACAGGCCCACAGGCCTGTGTACAGGTACACAAATTAAAGTCAAGCAAGGCAGACATGCTAAAAACATCACGATTAAACGACTTTTGAAGCCATTTCATTGTCGCTGATAAATGATCAATGTGAGAATAAAATCATGAGAGTCCTGTTGGAGTTGTGTCGTGCTCGCATCATCTTGATCGGGTAGTGTGAGGTGGTCAGGATGACGGTCTTAAGTCGGTCTTTTTCTCGTTTTGACACTGCGACAAAATCAACCGTGTTTAATGTTATCGTAAGTTTTAAGTCATGGCTCATGCAAATAGTGACGTGCCAAGGGCGCGAGAGAGCGAGCGAGCAGTCGAGCAAGTGTGCGCGTGCAGTGTGATAGAGAGAGAGAGAGAGGAGAGAGAGAGAGAGAGAGAGAGAGAGAGAGAGAGAGAGAGAGAGAGATATTGAGTGATAAAGGGAGAAAATGTATGCGCAAGAGACTGAAATCTCTGTTTAAAAAAAAAAAACAGCAAGTCTGCTCCACTTTAAAACAATAATCATATTAACTTTAAATGTAAACTGGCTGTTTTAATGCCTGTTTTTGATGTAAGGAAACGTGCAGAGGACTTTAAGAATGGCATAACTGAAGAATCATCAATGTTTGTTTTTTTTTGCTTTCTGTTACACTGGTTTCTTATTTTGTTTGTTTGTTGTTTATGGTTTAGTTTACCCAATCAACAATGCTGAATCGCTGCATGTTTTGTTGATATGTAAATCTTTATGTCAAATAAAAAAATAAATAAATGCACATTTTACAGGTTAAAATAAAAAAAAAACTGGGTGATGATCTGCCAGAATATAATACATACTGGGCCCCAGATCTTTACATGCTCAGCCAACGTATCTTCCCATCTGTACCACTACAGAGTGGAAAGAACAGTGTTTCTCTGCTTGATCATCTCAAAAATCTAATTACTTAAGTAAATAGTGACACTGCAAGATTCCTAGTCTTTGCAAAATCATAGTCTCAGAATAAAAACTGTGACACTGTGTTTAGATGTGAGAGGGTGTCAGACTTTAGTCTTTCAAAAGTCTTTTAGTGTATGGTCAGCATTAGCTGCATACCATAACATTACCCAGCGCTGCCCTCTAAACATGCTAGAGCACCAAGTTAGAAGCTAGAATTGTGTTTTTGTCGTCATGAGCCCCAGAATTTCTCAATGAATACATTTACTGCTTTCTTTTCGTAATGAATGAATCAACTGCTTTTCTTTTATTCACAATAATTTGCCAACACACCCTATTCACACTGTTGCAGCACAACATGACTGTGAAATCTAACAACTGTGAAAAACGACTTTAGGTCAGTGATTATCTGGGCGATTATGTAATAACAGCGACTGGCCTAATCATGACTGTACTAATTTAAAGTTGATCCACCCACTTGACTATGCCATAGCCCAGGCTGACAATGATGACCAAGAGTCGAGCAAGAGTCCTCTTGAGGGCCGAGATGAGCTCAGCAAACACCAGCAAGCCTTGAGCTGTGGAAAGAAAGAGGAACATTAACTGGTACATATTGAGTAGGGATGCACTGATACCACTTTTTCCCTTTCGATAACGATACCAATACCTGATCCTTTAGTATCGGCCCATACAGATACTAATCTATCTAACCTAACTCACTTATAAGTCCCGATATTTATACAATTACATTTTAAAAATATTTTATTTTGGTAAAATCTGTGTTCTGTGCCTCAAATAAAACATACTCAGCTTGGCTAGATGGCATTCATTTGTTGGTTTATATTTATTAGATGCTTAAGAAAACATACATTTGTTTATATACTGTATATTTAGCATTTACTATTATATTATTAGTGACAACAATGCAAAACCCAATGGAAGACCAAAAAAAAAAAACACACAAATGTGAGAATTTTCTCAGTTAAAAAATTACCATAGCCATCATATTATCTTAATTATCTTAAGTTTAATGTCGTTTCAGTGTATTATGCTCGTTTTCTTCATAACAAGCATAAAAAAAAATACCATGCTAATGTTTCGGTAGCTAGCTAGCTAACTTTCCCATTCCACCTTAAATAGTCCAGCGGTTCTGATGCCTGAAGCGCCAGAATGTAACTGCTGCTCCATTTAAGGTGGAACGGGAAAATTCTAACAAGAATCTGGTGAATATCTGACTTCAGCTTCATATCACTGAAGAATTAGGGGTGGGTGATAATAAATAATTGCCCCCCTCTTTGAAGGCTTATGATGCCCTAAATGTAACTAAAGCCCAGCAGTGAGGAGCTGAACTTTACCCTCCTCTGCTGTCACTGCAGACTGGCAGGGTCGCCTACAGAGCAGCGCTGGTAGCTGTTAATGAAGTGATGCTCTTTTTATTTGAGGGTCCCATTTCAGAGGGGAGATTTCAACCACTACCCTGTAACTCAGTTCAAAGGGGCAAGGAAAAACTCAAAAACAAAAGAAGAACTGGGACTGGGCCTAAGTCACTTTTATGATACGTGATAAAGCACTGTACATCTAACAGCAATAATAATATATGATGTAATGGAAAATATTTATTTCTCTAATGAAAGTGATATTAATCTTAATATAGCATAAATGGGATGAACTGGAACGTGGATTGTGAGCCAGGCCCTCTTGTCCAACATCAGTGTCTGACCTCACAAATGCTCTTTTGACTATTAGGCAGAAATTCCCACAGACTCTCTCCAACATCTTGTGGAAAACTTCCCAGAAGAGTGGAAGCTGTTAGAGCTGCAAAGGGGGACCAACTCCATATTAATGCCTCTGGATTTAGAATGGGACGTCCAACATGCTCATCTAGGTGTGATGTATAAGTGTCCACATACTTTTGGCCATATAGCGAACATGCAGTTGTTGATACACTGAGTAAAGTATATTGTGGCATTCTTTATCACAATGCAAAATCCAGGTCGGAAACGAATATTCAGTAAAATTAGCTATTTAAAGCCTTTATGCTACTACTGGTCGCATTTCATTGAATCTAAATTAAAACGATTAATAATTAATAAACAAACTAATAGTATTTATACAGCTTTTATCTGATTATGAAAGTCAATAACAAATAAATTTCAGCTTATCTTATTCATAAAGAATATTTGAATATTAGATAATATAGAGAAAAAAGTCACTTTGTAAATACCCTGAAGCTATTTCGATAACGACCTGCGATCTCAATAACACTCACATGCTGAGCCCACGGCGTTAGTGTTCTCGTACTCAGCGCAGAAGACCGCCATCTCCACCATGCCCAGGAAGATCACTCCAGCTATCCAGAACTGGATGCGTAGCAGGTCTTTCCAATAGCAGGAGGCCCAGACGAACCACATCAGAGCGTACAAGATGTAAATGATACACATCACCATGTAGAACTGTGGGGGATAATTAGACAAATTAGACAATGTAAACACACGCACAGATGCTTTACTCAGTCACAGCCATGTACGTTGACAAAAAATTGGAAGTTACATATTTCAGTGTCTCCTGCTACAGCCATATGCAACAGTTTGATCATCTCTGTTCAAATGAAGCGACAATAAATTAACAGGGAACAAACATAATTTTTCTGCTAATTCTAGCGCACAATTTACACGTGCTATTACTTTTGCACATGCTATATTCAATTCAGAAAGTAAACAGTAACTGTGCATAAAAATGTGCAGAAGTGTGTTCTCTGAGGATGTGTTAACTTATTTTTACTTCAACAAAACATGTATAAAACGAAGTATTATGGTAAACTGGGAGTGTTGGTGCTGTCGTCCAGCTGCTCTCAGGCGCTCACTCAGGTTTGCTGACGGTGGAGCAGAGGGGCGCCGACATCTCAGGGAGCCTCATGACTCTGTTACTTTCAGTCTCTCCTTTTAGTGAGGCTGTAGTAGCTCGACCTGCTGCTCTCCTTTAACACTGTAAACTGTTATCAGTCTGTATTAACACAAAGAACTGTCCGTGTGTTTCTTTGCTGAGTTGAACAGCTGCCCATCCTGTGGGTCTAATGCTGTTCTTTATCTGCCCTGATCGGGTGGACACTGCTTGCCAGCCTTCTGGCAGTTTGACCACCATGGAGCTTCCTGCTGTACAGCGCTGTGCAAACCTCACCTGCATGAACTGACCCTCCTGATGCTGCTATTTAATTAGAGCCACTGTTCACCTGCTTTCCCCTTTTTGTATTTTAATATTTTGGTGACACTTTATTTTGAGTGTCCTTTCAGATGAAAACAAAAACTCAACGGACTCTCAGTAACATGTCAACAACATATGAGGGTCAAGATTAGGATTAGGTTTTGGGTTGAGGTTAGGGTTAGGATTAGGGCCAGGGTGAGGGTTAGGATTAGATTGTGGGTTGAGGTTAAGGTTAGGGTTAGGATTAGGTCCAGGGTGAGGGTTAGGTTTTGGTTTGAGGTTAGGGTTTAGGATTAGGTCCAGGCCGAGGGTTAGGATTAGGTTTGGGGTTGAGGTTAAGGTCAGGATTAGGGCCAGGGTTAGGATTAGGTTTTGGGTTGAGGTTAAGGTTAGGATTAGGGCCAGGGTGAGGATTAGGATTAGGTTTTGGGTTGAGGTTAAGGTTAGGATTAGGGCCAGGGTGAGGGTTAGATTTGGGTTGTGGGTTGAGGTTAAGGTTAGGGTTAGGATTAGGACCAGGGTTAGGATTAGGTTTTGGGTTGAGGTTAAGGTTAGGATTAGGGCCAGGGTGAGGATTAGGATTAGGTTTTGGGTTGAGGTTAAGGTCAGGATTAGGTCCAGGCTGAGGGTTTGATTTAGGTTGTGGGTTGAGGTTAAGGTTAGGGTTAGGATTAGGTCCAGGGTGAGGGTTAGGGTTAGGACCAGGGTTAGGATTAGGTGTTGCGTAAAGTTGGTAAGGTTAGGTTTTGCATAATGGAAGTAACACATTAACAATACATCTACTTAATGTAAGTAATGTATCAACAGAACATCTACAAGATATTTACTTCAGTGCATTCAGGTGCTTCACTGCTGCTTCTTGACTGATATGTCGTTGATGTGTTACTGATAATCTTATTAATCATCTACAAAGGACCACTCCAAATATTTTAAATTAATGGTAAAACCTTATTATCTGTTCTTTTTGCTCTTGTGTTACTGTTTGCTATCTGGTGTGGTCCAGAGGAGGACGGGTTCCCCTTTTGAGTCTTGGTTCCTCTCAAAGTTTCTTCCTCTTGCTCTTAAGAGAGTTTGTCTTGCCACTGTCGCCACTGGTGACGCTCATAGGGGGTTCGGACCCCGATATTTCTGTAAAACTGCTTTGTGACAACGCCTGTTGTTAAAAGTGCCACATAAATAAACTTTTACTTGACTTAACATATATTTGACCAGGGGTGCCTAAACTTTTGCATACGACTGCACTCGTGTACTTTTTTCTCTACTTTCCATATTTTTTTAATTCCAAACCATATGTCTTATTTGAATACCCAAGGTAAGGTAAAAGAGTACAGAAATGAGTCAGGATATGCATTTATATTAGAATTATCTTTAGCATTAGAAGGCCTACAGGGAGGGTGCACAAAAACTCAAAATTTGTTCACCTGAACAAAGACAAATCATCTACACAATGCTATGTGCAGTGAGATAAGATAATTTCATGGAAAAAGAAGACGAAGAAAGAGATGGCGAGATACTCACAATCATAAGAGGCCATTCTGTGACTGAAATGAATCCATGAGCTCCTTTCATCACCACAGAGACTGTAACAACATAAAGCACAAAACATATTAAACATATTACTCTTAACAACAGTAAGCACAATTAAAAATAAAGCATAATCTAAATCTACTCTTATTATTACTATTATTGTTACTGTGATTGTTAGTGTTATTGTTATTATTACAATTATTATGATCAGTACTAGTAAAATAAGTTTTCCACCTTAAATCATTAAACTAAATTTTAAAAATGAAAGACTTGAAAAAAATAGTGTCGGGCTTACATGTTAAATTCCAGCTGGTATCTTTTTTATCAGGTTGGATCACTACCACAAGGAGATAGGGTCCATCTTTCCACGCTGTCGCAATGACATGATCCTTTCCGGAGAAAACAGAAAGCTGGGTAGGAAACTTACAGCAGCTTTACAAAACTCTCAGGCACAGATTAAAAACAACAACACTTCTATTAAAATCCTGTCTTTTTTGAAGGTGTTAAGGGAAAAATGAGCTTTACCCCAACTCCAGTTTCTCCTGTAAGCCACCTTGTGTAGTTGGCATCCTGAAACAATGAACAAAATACACGTCAGAAAGCTGAACACAAACATGCTCTGTGGTCATTAATTAAGTCAGATGTGTTAACTGTAGTTCTCACATGAGTTTCTCCCTCCTTTGCTGTCTCCACAGTCCTCGGCTCTGCTATTGTTTTCTGCAAATGAAGATTTTGAAAAAGGTGTTTTTTAAGTGGTTCCGGATTTCTCCTGGATGCCCCCAGCCACTATATGGATTTACACTATATGGCTTAAAGTATATGAACAACCCTCCTAATGGTGTGTATGTTCTGGTGTAAGTGGCTGGTGCAATATGACTGGTGAAACTGGTACCAGTTCCTGACTGGTCAGCACCGAATTGAATACATTCTAATTGCAGATTAAGACTGAAGTGTTTATCTGCTCACTCTATTAAACAATCTGATGGAAAATCTTCGTTTACGTGCTCACTACAAGTAATCCGATCGAAAATGATGTGTATGCGTGTAGAACCACTTAGTGTAAGCGTTACCATGACAGCGAACCTCATGTGAGGTCCAGTCAGTGAGACGAGTTTTCAGCTGGCGCGTTTGTGTTTTTAATTACTTTAAAATGATGTCAGACTCCGAAAAACGTACCTCACATTCTTATCAAAGAAGGCCGAGAGGAAGACGTCGTGTCCTGTGACACATAAGCTGGACGTCCGTCCCACCGCCGTCTTTTAAAGATCAGAGCATGAACTTCGTCTCCTCTGCAGACCAGTTTCTGCTCCGCCATGTTGAACGGTATAAACTTTCACTATGACGTGACGAACATGATCAGAACGGACTTAAACTTTCTGATAGGGAATGTAATCAGATACAGGCGTTTACACGGATATTATTCTTCTATTTAACGGATTATTTACAGGATTACCCACCTCGAACAGTCGGATAGAAACTGTATTCCGAATGGCCTCAATTAGACTAGACTATTCCGATTTAAGTGTTTACATGGACGTATTCTATTCCGATTGAGCTATTAGTCGGATTATTAACGGATTACTAGGCTGCATGTAAACGTGGCTAGTGATATTAAGCTGAGCCTGTACTAAATTAAAATTGAACAGCTGGCATAGAATAAATTGCTAACTGCTCAGTAGCCTAAGTTTGAGCTTAGTGTGAGCTGGCGTGATACCCAGGGTTGGCATAGTGTAGTGGGTAACACCTCCGCCTCCTACGCTGTAGACTGGGGTTCAATCACCTGCCTGGGCAAGCACCCAACACTATACCAACAAGAGTCCTTGGGCAAGACTCCTAACACTTCCTTCGCCTACCTGTGTAAAAATGATCAAATTGTAAGTCGCTCTGGATAAGAGCGTCTGCCAAATGCCGTAAATGTAAATGTAACTTCGCACCAAGTTATGGAGAGTAGTATCAATAAGAGTATCGTTAAGATGTATCAGTATCAATATCTGTATTGATAAAATCCTAATGATACCCATCCTTACTGAAGCTTCTTGGGCTGGTCTTTCGAGCGATGCTACAATGCAGCTACGTGGCTGCCTGGGCCGGCCGTTGGGTCACGCGGCACTGCAATTATGAGGCTGCCTGGACTGTTGGTGTTTGGCCGGATGAAAATGCTACACCTTCGTGGCTAAAGACATTTCCGACCTTCAAGGCTTCTCAGGCCGGCAACCTGTGTGATGCCACGCTGTAGTTGCAGGGCCCCCCAGGCAGAGTGAGACCTTTACCATGGATAAGGATTCTTTCCGGGCTAAGTGACTCTTTACCATGGTCTGGGGAATCCATCCCGCCAGCGATGGTAACAGCTGGGTGTGTTGTTTAATTTATTTTTGATTATATATTTTGTTGCTTTGTGAAGCACCTGACTGTAAAGCCTCTTTGAGCATGAGAAAGGCACTATCTAAATAAAAGTGATGATTATGATGGTGAATTTCTGAGTTCAGGTGTTTCAGCCACACCCACTGCTAACAGATGTATAAAATCAAGAGCATAGCTATGTGGTCTCCATAGGTAAACAATGGCAGTAGAATGTGTCGTACCGAAGAGACCTGCTTGACCTGCCCCAGTTAACACTAAGTGCTATTGTTGTGAAATTAAAGTGTCTGGGAGCAAAAACAGCAACAACAATCCCACAGAGCAGGTCCAACGAGTGCCTATGCGTACAAAAATCGCCTATCCTCTGTTGCATCACTCATTACAGATTTCCAAACTGCCTCTGGAAGCAACGTCAACACAAGAACTGTGCGACAAGAGCTTCATGAAATGGGTTTCCATGGCTGAGCAGCTGCACACAAGCCTAAGATCACTATATGCAATGCCAAGCGTTGGCTGGAGTGGTGTAAAGCGCCGCCACTAGACTCTCGAGCAGTGGAAACGTGTTCTGGAGAGATGAATCAGGTTCACTATCTGGCAGTCTGATGGGTGAGTCTGGGCTTGGTAGGTGCCAGAAGAACCCTATCTACCGGAATGTACTGTGCCAAGAGTAAAACTAATTAGATTAAGTATTTATAGTGGCTAATATTTTACAGTGACAAATGTTAAATGCCAATTCAGTCCAATATAGAGCAAATAAAATGTTGTTTATATATCAGGTTTGACTTGCAGAAAATGTTCTAGTGTGTTTCATGTGTTCATTTGCCCCACACAGGCTAAGCTTCATATTAAAAAGGCTAATAAAAATCAGCCAATTTGGCTGTGAAGAAACTTGAATAGGCCCAAAAATTCAGAATCGGCACATCCCTAATAAACTGTGCCACAACTTTTAAATTTTTTTTTTTAAAATATATTAAATTCAGCAAATAAATAATAATCGTGCTTTGAAGTGTGTGTTATCCGTAGAGGATGTATTACTCACACTTAGAAAATCAACAAAACCGCAACCCTAAGTGCTTAAACAACCTGTGGGGGTTGGTGCCCCACAGGACCCTCACAGAACAGGTACTATTTCATTCTCAGCACTGCAGTAACACTGACGTGGTGGTGGTGTGTTAGTGTGTGTTGCGCTGGTGTGAGTGGATCAGACACAGCAGTGCTGCACAGTTTGTTTTAAACACTGCGTCCATTCATTGTCCACTCTATTAGACACTCCGACCTTGTGAGTTCACCTTGTAGATGTAAAGTCAGAGACGATAGCTCATCTGCTGCTGCACAGTTTGTGTTGGTCATCCTCTAGTCCTTCATCAATGATCACAGGACGCTGCCCACAGGACGCTGTTGCCTGGATGTTTTTGGTTCTCAGTCCAGCAGCAACACTGAGGTGTTTAAAAACTCCAGCAGCACTGCTGTGTCTGATCCACTCAGACCAGCGCAACACACACTAACACACCACCACCACGTCAGTGTTACTGCAGTGCTGAGAATGATCCACCACCCAAATAGTACCTGCTCTGTGAGGGTCCTGTGGGGGTCCTGACCACTGAAGAACAGGGTAACAAAATATGCAGAGAAACAGATGGACTACAGTCTGTAACTGTAGAGCTACAAATTACCGTTTAATGAAAATAAATTAAATGAAAGAACACGCTGACTCACGTTGAAAGTGGGAAAGAGCTGCATCCCACTGTTGCAGGTTAATGTCCTGTATTTATGCTCGATGTACTCTCCTTCTCCAAGAGGGTTGGGGTCTAAACTCTCTCCCCGACCCAGCGCTGTCCTCTCATACATTTCCTGAGAGCAGAAGTAAAACTGAACCTTAAAAAGAGACATTTAATACATACATATCTACAAACTCTGTGGGTTGTGGTTTGATAACAAACATGCAGAGCGCTCACCTCTACGTTGACGTACTCATTGTGGCACGGATAGCACTTTAAATACCACCTGATGGTAAATGAGACTTCCTCTGGACAGCTAAAAGAAGCCACTGCAAAACGGAAAATACCACATTACCTTTGGACAGTTACAACAAATTTACACCACAGTCAAATACGCCTGTTTCTTAGCACACAACCTATACATAAACACATTTGCTGCATCTTCACTGCTATTATTTCTATTAAAGGTAAACATTACCTCTCAGTTGGATATTAGTGCCCTTATACATGGACTTTCTCACTATCACGGGTCTTGATGTCTGGAGGAAAGAAATAATTATGAGACAATGAGATGGTAATGCAAGACACAAGCCTCCCGAACCAAAGATATTATACCCTGCAAAAAAGGAGTCAAGTGAAATTATCTTAAATCATGTGAATATATATACACCGATCAGGCACAACATTACCTCCTTGTTTCTACGCTCCACTTACTATATAGGTGCACTTTGTAGTTCTACAGTTACAGACTGTAGTCCATCTGTTTCTCTGATACTTTGTTAGCCCCCTTTTACCCTGTTCTTCAGTGGTCAGGACCCCCATGGACCCTCACAGAGCAGGTACTATTTGGGTGGTGGGTCATTCTCAGCACTGCAGTAACACTGACGTGGTGGTGGTGTGTTAGTGTGTGTTGCGCTGGTCTGAGTGGATCAGACACAGCAGTGCTGCTGGAGTTTTTAAACACCTCAGTGTCACTGCTGGACTGAGAATAGTCCACCAACCAAAAATATCCAGCCAACAGCGTCCTGTGGGCAGCGTCCTGTGACCACTGATGAAGGACTAGAGGATGACCAACACAAACTGTGCAGCAGCAGATGAGCTATCGTCTCTGACTTTACATCTACAAGGTGGACCGACAAGGTAGGAGTGTCTAATAGAGTGGACAGTGAGTGGACACAGTGTTTAAAAACTCCAGCAGCACTGCTGTGTCTGATCCACTCGTACCAGCACAACACACACTAACACACCACCACCACGTCAGTGTTACTGCAGTGCTGAGAATGATCCACCACCCAAATAGTACCTGCTCTGTGAGGGTCCATGGGGGTCCTGACCACTGAAGAACAGGGTAAAAGGGGGCTAACAAAGTATCAGAGAAACAGATGGACTACAGTCTGTAACTGTAGAACTACAAAGTGACCCTATATAGTAAGTGGAGCTGATAAAATGGACAGTGAGTGTAGAAACAATGTTATGCCTGATCAGTGTATACACTATATTTCTTATTTTGAGATTATAATAAGTTTATTATAAGATTATTTAATTACTTACATTAACATTAACTTTACTTGTTTTAGATGATTTTATTAAGATTATCTCACTGTAGGGCAGATACTTTTGCAGGTTTCAAGCACATTTCTTACAACAAGCAAAATTATCTGCCAACACTGAGAATTTCACTTAGCAAAATTACTTAAAACAAGAAAAAATGTCTAAAGTAAGTAAAATAGTCTTATAATAAGCTAACAGCAAACTCACAATGAGAAATATTAGATACATCGACTAGATTAAAGGCACTTCCACTTGAGAAAATACTCTCTTTTTTTGCAGTGTAGCAATTCAATCAGCCAATATAACAGGTTCAACTGAGCTCAGACGTTTACAGCCGCGCTGCTGAGCCGAAGCATCAGCTTTCAAAGAGAGCTACCAGATATCTTTTGGACTGTGCACACGGAAAAACGGTGTCTTTAAATATTTGATACACCACCTTGAAAGTAAACATGTGAGAAAAAACACATATTTGACAGTCCAAACAGCTACCAAGTGGTTGGAGGTCTGTCAACATCCTTAACGCCTTGTTAAAGTGATGTATAAAGTAGAAAACATCTTCTAAGCAGCAAGTAGTTTACCATTAAAAGGCAGAATCTCAAAAAAACAGATCCCTGCTCCCTACATGGTGCCATATGTAGGTCTTTAAATGCAATTTCTTGCACTCAAGCAGTGCATAACATGTCTAATAAAGAGAGATTTGGGATTTTAACACATGCACAGTTCTATACCGGACATACAGTGCACTATTTGGGTGTAGATGCCACTCATATAGTGCACTATGTAGGGAGCAGGGGTCCATTTGGGATACTGCCCAATTGTCAGACTTGTTAGCCAGCCAAATATACGGATAACTGAAAGAGGAACTCCACCAATTTTTCAAAAGTGCACATAGTTAAGAGGTTAAGATGTAAACAGAGTCGTTCAGAGCGGTTTGGTGTGAAACGCTCCGTTCTAGAGAAACTTACCGAGTCAGAATTGTTCACAGTGGTGGTGATAGGAACCAGACGTCCACCTCTAAAAGCTCCCTCACAGAAAGTTCCTACATGAAATGGTTATGAATTCACTGCCTGATGACTGAGACACTGTTTTATGATAGCTTTGAGAACTTAAACTCCATTCATGGTGGAGGGATACATGCAGGGCGCTGTGAGGCAAAATAGTCCCCAAAGAAAACGTATTATTTCAGATTTTCCACTATTTTCCATCATCAACATTCCATATGAACTCAGAAGACTCGTGTAGGTTCACTGGTGGTTCTGGATAGTAAATAAAATGTCTATATCTGTGTTGTAGTCATGGCGACCCCTGGTTCCTATCACCACCACTGTAATAAAGTTTTTCTAAAATGCATCATTTCAATTCAAACTGCTCTGAATGACTTTGTTTACATCTCTTTAATCGAACAAAAAAAGAAAAATCAGTGGAAAACTTCTTTTTAATCATGTACCCATGCATATTTAGTTCATAACGCACTCCTGTGAACTAAATACACAGCTGCGAAATGCAATAAATATGTAGTAAACCTATAAACCTATAAACCTATAAACCGTGAGGCATGTTTTATAACACTGGCAGAAAAACTCATGTTTGGTTAGAGTTTGTCGTATCGGCTTTGTAGGGAAGGCCGTTTCCACCACTGGACAAAAATATACAGCCATTTACTAAGTCATGATAATGAAAACATTCAAGTTATTCTATAACTATAACTTGGTGACTTAGTATCTCATAATACTTAATAACTTTATATCTCAATGATGAGTTATCTTCTCACATTCATGACTTACTATCTTATAACATACATACATACATACATCATCTAAACCGCTTATCCTTCTGGGTTGCGGTGGGGTGCTGAAGCCTATCCCAGCTGTCATTGGGCATTATAACAATGACTTAATATCTCATATTATGACTTACTTTCTCATAATGACTTAGTATGTCGCGATTATGACTTAATATCTCAACTATGAATTAGCATCTCATAATTATGACTTTGTTTCTCATAATAGTGAGATTCAAATTCATAATTGTGACTTAATATCTCATATTTAAGAATTAGCATCTCATAATTATGACTTAGTATCTCATAACAATGGCGTTCAATCTCATAACTATGACTTAATATCTCAATGATGAGTCATCTTCTCATGTTCATGACTTACTATCTTATAATAATAACTTAATCTCTCATTTTATGACTTGGTATGTCATAATTATGACTTAATATCTCAACTATGAATCAGCATCTCATAATCATGACTTTGTTTCTTATAAGTGAGATTCAATGGCACAGTTTTGACTTAATATAAAAGCTTCTCATAATAATAACTTTCTCATAATTACTCAGTCTGTCATAATTATGACTCAATATCTCATTATTAAGAATTAGCATCTCATAATTATCACTTAATTTCTCATAATAGTAACTAACCATCTAAAACGTATGACTTAGTATCTCATAATAATAACATTCAATTTCATAATTACGACTTAATATCTCAATGATGAGTTATCTTCTCATATTCTTGACTTACTATCTTATAATAATAACTTATTCCTTTATGACTTGGTATGTCATGATTATGACTTAATATCTCAACTATGAATTAACATCTCATAATTATGAGATTTAATCGCATAGTTATGACTTAATATCTCAATAATGACTAAGCTTCTCATAATAATGGCTTTCTCATAATTACTTAGTCGGTCACAATTATGACTTCATATCTCATAATTAAGAATTAGCATCTCATAATTATCCATTTCTCAGAATAGTAACTAACCTTCTCATAATTATGACTTTGCATCTCAATGATGAGTTATCTTCTCATATTCATGACTTACTATCTTACAATAACAACTTAATTTCTCATTTTATGACTCGTAATTATGACTTAATATCATCATAATTATGGCTGTTTATTATAAGTGAGATTCAATCACATAGTTATGCCTTAATATCTCAATAATGACTAACCTTCTCATAATTACTTAGTCTGTCACAATTATGACTTATTATTTCATAAGAGTTAGCAGCTCATAATCATCACTTCATTTCTCACAACAGTAACTAACCACCTCATTATAATGACATTCAATCTCATGATGACTTAATATCTCATAATAACGACTGAGCATCTCACAACAAGGCTTTCTCATAATAATATGATCATTTTGATTATCATTTCACACAATCGAATTATTTCTCGTTATCGTGTGACAATTATTATGACATGCTAAGTGATAATTACGGAAAGCTTCCTCATTATTAGGACTTATTAACGGTTTTATATCCCACTTCAGTGGTGTAAACGGGTTTTTAGGGCTTTTGGACGATTTCTAGAATTAAAAACAAGCTTACAGAAGTTCGCTCTGACAGGCGATCGTGAGAGAAATAAACAGGAGACGATGTTTACAAAAGATTAGACACTCTCTCTGTGTAAGAAACAGCACTGGCTCTGAATAAAACCGCTTAAAAGTAAAAAAGAAACGTAATTAAAGTCACCACAGCAGGCTAGCTAACCTAGCTAATGCTAGCTCCCACTGGAAACGCCACATCAGCCTGCCAGCGCGCTAAGCTAAGCTAAGCTAATGGGCTAAACAGCGGCGAAGCGAGTCCTGCTGTCTGTGTTTACAGTCTGCCGCCCCGTAAACGAGCTAAATGAGGCTGTCGAACCACGTTCTGTTTGGACCGGACCCCGCGGTGAGCAGCAGGGCAGCTAAAGCTGAATGTTGGCCGCTATGAAAGCGGACACTCCGGCTGCTCCGGCTAGCCAGGCTCGGTAGCAGGTCTCCCTCCGCGGCCCGTCCGTCCATCATCAGGCTCTCTGAGTCGCTGCTTACACTGTTGACAGTCGAAGTCCAGTGTCCGGCCTCCGGAGCGGCGTCCACTCCGCTGGAGAAACAGCTGAATACAGTCCAGGACAGGAGAGAAAACCACAGCATCTTCTGGAGGAACGCGGAACACTCCGCACACGCCATCGTGGCTCCGCTGCTGTCAGTGAAGTCGGGAACGGTGTGTGCGCGTGCGCGTGCGCGTGCGCGCGTCACGAGCTCACCTGAGGCGCACCTGCCCGACACGTCTGTTCCAACAAGCATATTAGGGAAGCATCGGAATTGTTACAGAGGTCTCCTGGAATTAGGCTCGGTCTCTTCCCTGTTCCTTGCGTTTATAACATCCTCCCGAGAAAAAATAGAGTTTGAGAATTTCAGTAATTTTAAGATAAAGAAATTTTATAGAAATTTCTATGAATGTAAGCATCTATAAACACATTCATAACATGCTATATGTATAGTCACAAGGCATTATCAACGCGCTTATAAATATTTACAAAAATGAATTACACTGAATTACACTTCATAGCCATGTTCATTTTTGTTGTCTTGGTGAGCTTTGAATGGAGCAAATTTAGGCTAATAGCACAGAGCATGTGAACTGCCTGTAGATGAGCTCACCAGTCAGGAGCAGCAAAACACCCAGGTTCTGCATGTGTGACGTCACAACCATCACACCTAGTTTGATCCACTCAACATTTAAGCTTCATGCCAGAAACAGAATATGTTTTGGTCGTCTTGGCCAAAAAGCAGGCCTGCAGATTAATTTATACAAAACAGTTTTTATTTAAATCGCAATCGCACTATTGGTCAGAAAAATCACAATAAGACATTTTGATTGGTCTGTTTCCAGGTGGTTGCTAAAGTGTTGCCAAACAATTACTACGGCATTTTAGGTGGTTGCTAAGGTGTTGCTAAGTGTTTGCGCTGGTATCCTACGTGGTTGCTTTATTCCCAGGTGGTTGCTAAGGTGTTGCTAAGTATTTGTGCTGGTATCCTAGGTGGTTGCTCTATTCCCAGGTGGTTGCTAAGTTGTTGCTAAGTATTTGTGCTGGTATCCTAGGTGGTTGCTAAGGTGTTGCTAAGTATTTGTGCTGGTATCCTAGGTGGTTCCTTTATTCCCAGGTGGTTGCTAAGGTGTTGCTAGGTATTTGCGCTGGTATCCTAGGTGGTTCCTTTATTCCTAGGTGGTTGCTAAGGTGTTGCTAAGTATTTGCACTGGTATCCTAGGTGGTTGCTCTATTCCCAGGTGGTTGCTAAGGTGTTGCTAAGTATTTGCGCTGGTATCCTAGGTGGTTCCTTTATTCCCAGGTGGTTGCTAAGGTGTTGCTAGGTATTTGTGCTGGTATCCTAGGTGGTTCCTTTATTCCCAGGTGGTTGCTAAGGTGTTGCTAGGTATTTGTGCTGGTATCCTAGGTGGTTGCTCTATTCCCAGGTGGTTGCTAAGGTGTTGCTAAGTATTTGCGCTGGTATCCTAGGTGGTTGCTCTATTCCCAGGTGGCTGCTAAGGTGTTGCTAAGTATTTGTGCTGGTATCCTGGGTGGTTGCAAGGGGGTTGCTCTATTCCCAGGTGGTTGCTAAGGTGTTGCTCTATTACCAGGTGGTTGCTAAGAAGTTGCTAAGTATTTGCTAAGGGATAAAGTGAGGCTGGAAAATGATCATGAAAAAAAATTAATCATGGCTTCTTTTTTGCTACATAAAACCACATAAATGTTATAAATGAGGGAAAAATAAATAAAATACAAAAAAAAATGCAGGAATGTTTTTAATAATCAGAAGATTTACAGCAATTAATTTCACTCACAGGATTAAGTGACCAAGTACCGCACTGAATGGTACAATTACAAAAAACTCTTCAGACATAAGCTTTTTTCATTTATCAAGAACAGAAAATATAAACATCTGGACCATGTACACATACCTATGTACATCATATATACAAATGGATACCTAATATACATATTTAATCATATGTACATCAGATTTTGACTTCTATTCTGCAGTAAAAGAATCTCCTTTACACTTTACAACACTGGCCAAACTTCATCAGCAGCAGAGTCCTAAAAACAACACCTTTAAGGGCAGATAGGGTCCATTACATCTGCACAGACTGCTGTCGAGTGCTGAACAGACCTGATATCTTACACCATTTACACCAGCTGGACTCAGAAGGTGCATTTTCCACAGGGAGCTGTGAGAGCGCCAGCATTTTCAACCTGATCTCTACTGCCTGTTCTGTCGTACACAGACTATTACCAGAAATAAACAGGAAATCTGTCAAAGTTATGGTCTGTGGCCACCCGTGCTCGAAAAGTTATTAAAAAATATGTACAAATGACTGATGACTTCTCTCGAACTGCAATACACTGCAAAAAATGGTATCTTGTCAAGTGAAATCATTTTAAATCTCGTCGATATGTCTATAATTTCCCATTTTGAGATGTTTGTGCACTTATTAAGATTGTTTATCTTATTTCCAGACATTATTAGGTAATTTTATTAAAATTATCTCACTATATTGGCAGATCATTTTGCTGGTTTACTTAATAAAATTACTTAAAACAAGTAAAAATGCCTAGAAATAAGATAAATAATCTTAAATTAAGCTTACAACAATCTATTCAAATCAAAATATTGATTTATTGACTATATTTAAGATGATTTTACTTGACATGATACCATTTTTTTCAGTGTAGAATTACTTCAATCATTGCTTCACTTCTGAGTTTGTCTCTAAAACCCAAACACATCTGTATCAGCTGGACAAACCCAGCGTACTGCAAAAAATGGCATCTTCTCAAGTGAAATGATCTGAAATCTAGTGAATATACCTAATATTCCTAATTTTGAAATTATTGTAACCTTATAATGTGATTATTTAACTTATTGCAAAACTTTTTTTTTTTTACTGGATTGAAATAAAGTTATATAGTAAAATAATCTCACTGCATTGGCAGATAATTCTGTTTGTTGTACACTTAAAAATATGGTTTTTCAAGGGTTCTATAGTAAACGGTTCTATAAAGAACCATGAACACACAAAGAACCCTTTGAGTTCTTTGAAACCTGAGTTTAAAGCAAGTTTTCATAAATCTTAAAACTTTGCTTGTTCGCAGTTATTTCAGAGCCACTCGGTTCTACCTGATGGAAACTGTTTGCCTTCAGTGTTTTGTGCTGATGATAATTTTAATAGACATCAGCGTCACTAATTAATGACTCTATTAAAAGACTGGTTTACCAAGAGAGACACTGGAGTATTTTCACCTAAAATGAGTTTAATGAAGCGAGTCTTGTTACAAAAATGATAATAGGACATTAAAGTCATAATTAATCTTTCAGTACTTTTACTTTTGATACTTAAATACATTTGAAGGCAAACACTTTTGTACTTTTACTCAAGTGGAGGTCTAAAGGGAGGAACTTCTACTTTTACTGCAGTAATAAAAAAGGTCCCGTTTTGGTACTATATAGAACGCTTTTTGCTAAGAGTGTAATAAATATGAAACCATGGGTTAAATTACAATTATAATATTCCTAAACCATCTCAAAATGAAAAATATGAGACATTTCTACAGCGTTTAAAATGATTCCACTTGTTAAGACGTCATGTTTTGCAGTGTTGCATTATTTCCCCCATGTGTTGAGCCTCTTAATGTCTCAGAGCAAGTGTGTCGTGTCACTAGAGGATGGCTGGAATTCCGATAATCCCCCAACAGTGCCCGAACTGTCCGCCTCCCGGCTGTCCTCGGCTAAAAGAGGAGTGCTGCTCTCCGCTACGGCAGCAGGATCCTCCGAGGAGATAACAATGACGTAACGGTCGTCCTCCTCCGCGGCAGAGTGGACTTCTGCCGTTACGACGGACGGGTCGGCGGCCTGGCGGCTGCAGGAGGGCGAGGAGGTGAGGAGGGGGCCCTCCAGCGGCGCCTCTGCCAGCGGCTCCTCCTCAGGGAAGCTGGTGTTGATGTAGATGATGTTGTTCCTGCTGGAGCTGTCGGGGAGCTTCTCTAACAGCTTCTCCAGCATCTCCCTGACCTTCGTGAAGTCCGGCCGGTCCATGGGGTCAGTGCGCCAGCAGCTGAACATGATGCTGTACCTACAAAATGTGAGCAGATGGTATTTAGACTATGCTATAATTATAATTGATTATGATACGGTTCGTGTCCACTTGCACTTTTTCTCGCTGCATTCCTCTGCACCGGATCTCTCTGCTCGCCACCGGGGGGCGTTTCTATGTTGTTATAGAGGTTAAGGTACCGTGTTGAACATATCTGGGGCTGTTGAGAATCTGATACGCTGTTTGCTGTTACCCTGCCTGCACATCGCCAGCGCTACAACTGTTCAGCGTCACCGAGGCGGCCTTTAGTTTGTCGCTGGTGGGTGTTTTTGTTTTTTGTTGATGAAAATCTTTTTATTAAGCATTTTCAGTACAAAAATAGACAATCCAAGAAACAAACAGACGTAAACAAAGATGCACGGTTGATTAAAATGAATTCAATTAGATAGGGTCCTGTCCCAGATCTTTAATTGCCACAGACAAGGTGACCACAGCATTCAGTCTGGCAGTGGCAGCTCCAGAACCAGGACATCCATAAAATAAAGCAAGAAGCACGCTCAATTTCAAAATTGCTTTCTTCGCTGCTGTCAGAAAAGCCATTACTATTTTCTCTGAGCAGAAACAAAGCAGGATATGAGGGCAGATCTACTTCTAGAAGAGAAACAAGCAATGAAGCTGTCGTCTCCCAGAGATGCTGCACTGGAGGGCACAGCCAGAAAACATGAATAAATGTTCTGAGAGCATCTAAAGAGCATTTAGAGCAAAGTTTCTCAGTGGAAAGTTTCATCTGGAATGCCTGACGAGGGGTTATATAAAATCTGTGTGCACATTTATAGTGTATCGGCTGATGGGCAAAATTTTTAAATGAAGAGAATACATTTTTCCAAATCAGATCCCAATCCAGATCTGAGTAGTCTATGACGAGGTCACAGGTCCGAATTGTCTGTACCCTGAGCACACGGGCAGTGTTAGAAGCTGAAGGGCATTTCGAGGCGAGAGCAGTCAGGCAGGAAGCTCGACTGGATTTTGTGGTGATCCAAACTACATTTTTAAAAGCCAGAACTCAGAACTCAGCCAGCATAGACTTTATTTATTAACTAACATCACAGCTGACGCAAATAT